CCTTGGATGTCCCCTAATAGACTTCCAAAAGTGGCTTGTCCCTGTTAGTGCACAGTAATGATGAGGCCTGTTCTGGCTGAGTTCTGCCCTTGGGTGTCAGTCAGTAAATGTCTCCTAAATTTAGACCATGTGCAAGAGAAGAGGGGGCTAGCTGGAGCTGTAATGTCTTTAAGCATCTCCAAAACCTCCCTGCACCAGCCCTGAACCCATGACTACATCTGCACCTGTGCTGCTGACATGTCGCAGAGCACAGCAGTCATCATTACTTGTCCTATGGCCACCCAAGTCAAAGCTCTGCCACTTCTCTGACATAGGACTGAGGGAAGATCCCAACATCACCAAGTCTCACCTTCCCAGTTCACAAAGCCACAAAATGTGCAGGTTGAATGAGCAGCATATAAGTGTGTAGAACAGTAAATGGCATGTCGTAGGAGCTCAGTCGAGGCTGAGTCTTCAGCAGTGGTCTCCCAAGCCATCATAGCCTCTTTTGAGCTTGCACTTCCTGTTCTAGGAAGGGCTTGGAGTCTGCAGGGCACGTGAGGTATTCAGGATCAAATCCATCCCTGAAAGTATAGGCTCTTTGTAATTTGAGGTTTCCCTGCAATGGAGCAGCTCGTGAGGTTTGAATACCATGTGTTGTCTGCACAGGAACTGGGAAGCTGGGATCAGACACAGGACACTTGCCCAGTTTCCAAGGGCTGGTCTTCTCAAAACCCACACCCACCACTTGATTCATTCAAGAAGTAACAGAGTCTGCTTCTGTGCAAGGGACCTCCCTAGCAGTCTAGCTTCACTGCCACAAAGCTAATGTTTTGTTTGGTTTTTTTGTTTGTTTTCTATACCAGGGATCAAACTTGGAACCTTGCACTTTCAAGGCAGCGAAGGAACCACGGAGCAACATCCCCAGCCCCCACAAGGCTAATCTCAACCATACTCTTGTCAAATGTAGCATGCTGGATAACTCTTTAGCTGGTCTCTGATTCCACTCTTTCAGACAGCATCCCAAATCACACAGTTAATCAATCCATTGCTCAAACTCCTCAGCCACAAGAAACCTAAGTTCTTCGTTGGCCCTAGCATTCTTATCTAATCTCACCCAGTCTTCTCTTAAGACTCTTCTTCAGTACATTTCTTTGTCTCTTTAAGTTACGGTTTCCTCACCTCTAGAATAAAGAGGGTATTGGCTAAGGTTGATGGAAGATTTAACAAGATAAAACAAAACTACCTATTGTGCCCAGCCAGATTTCCCCCTTACACTTTGGGCTTTTCAAAAACAGCTCCTTACCCAGCAGATGGGCTTTGTTTTCTGTAGGGCAGTACCTTCCTTTCCCCTCAAATGGCGCTCCTTCACCATCCCATTTCTCACTGTGCTCTTCAGCACGTACGTACACACAAACACATACACAAACACACATATGCACACACCACACACACTCTATTAGTTTCAGGAGAGTTACATGAAGCATAAGCATCATGCATTAGCAGAAAATGTGTTCTCCCTCCAGAGCTGCAGAGCATAGTAACAGGCTGCTACAGCCCTAAAGCTCTAAAGTGTATGTCCTTATTTCTAGGACTTCAGAGGCCCCTGAGGACTGCTGCCTTCTTCTACAAGCTCACCCCCAGCATCAGCTGGCCCCGCTCTGTGGCCCAGGATTCACACCCAAGCTATCTGGTAAACCTAGTATGACCACAAGAAAGGTCCATGCACCTCTCTGCCAACATCCTGAGTAAAAATGCTTGGTTTTTTTGTCTTTGTTTTGTTTTGTTTCGTTTTGTTTTGTTCTGCCCAACGTTCAGGAAGTCCTTCAAACCAGCTACAGTTAATTCACTATCAATCTTCAGGTTACAAGAGCTCTTAAATTCCTTCTACAACCTCTCCTCCAGATGTGAAAGTTACTTTAATCTTGAAGGAGGATCTCTTCCTATTCAGAGTGTTCGTTCTTGGTTTACAGATTTCCACTAGGCAACTCTTTCTGTTTTTGTCAGCTTTTGCCCTGAGTTACACCTCCGGTCCTTTTTGCTTTTCTTTTTTTTTTTAAGTTAAGAAAGTTGTTATTGGAAATAAAGAGAAGAAAAAAGCTCCTGATTTCTCCAGGAAGAGAATGAGAAAAGTAGAATTTCTGCATGGCCCCTTGCTCTTGAACTATTTAAGGACAAACAGAGCACAAACCTTGTTCAATCACTTAGTGGTCATCTATCCCAAGTAGCTCTGTGAATTTGAAATGACAGATTGGGACTCATGCTCTCTAACTCAGTTACTCAGTATGTAGTGTTTAAAAGGAGATGTGGATTTTAGAGAAAAACTGATTGTTTTGCATTTTAAGTTCCTGGAAACTCGGGAGCTTCATAGGAAGTGGCTGCAACTCCCTTTGGTAGGGAGGAGGTAGTGTCCCACGTTGCCTAAGGGAGTTTATCCTAGGTCCAAAGTGCTAGTTCACTGTCTATTCTTATTTAATTCTTATAAATATGGCTGCTCACCCTTCTCCACCTCAGGCCCTCCCCCTAGCTAGCTGCCTTATTCACAAACTAACTATATAAACTATTTTTCCATCTCCTCCCTCTGAAGAAGCATCCCTAACCGACATGAGGGGAGAGAATGAATGAAGATGGAATCTAGCTACCTTTTGCTGAGAGAGGTCAGTGTAGGGGCCACAGTCACAAATTTTCTCCAGAGAGCTCATCTAAGGGGTCTTTCATAAAAGTCATGTTAAGATTCAACAGTAATGGTCCATCTTCAGAGTTTTTATTTTGAGACAGTATCTCAATGAGTCATTAAATTGCCCAGGCTGGGCTTGAATTTGAAATCTTCCAGCCTTAGCTTTCCAGACTGCTGGGATGACAGGTGAAGGCTACCATGTCCAGTTTCTACGAGGCAACTTTTCATCATCACCCAAAACATATTTCTTACTGGGGCAACAGAACAGATCTGAGGCTGAGACAGAAGGCCTCTCGGATCACAGTTCCGTTATCCCTGGGTGTGTACCTTATGGCTTTGGTCCTCATGCAGTCTCATTAATCACTGCCTAGTTCTTGTTGTCTTGCTTGCTTCCAGCAGACTTTGAGCTCCTAGAGAATGAGGTCACATCTTCTTAATCTAAGGTTCCACAGAACAGTTTTTAAAAAGAAAAATGTGGATTGTGGGCTTTCACACATGAGAGTTTGCTGATCTGAATTCAAACCACTGGCTGTGCAACCCATTCAAGGGACTTAATTTCTTTCTATCTCTCTTTTCTTGTCTACAGAAATGAAGGCAATGATCCCTACTATATAATGTTGTTGTGCTTAATAAATACAATACACATACAGAAGGAAAACAAGAAGCTAGCAGTGGCTCAGTATCTGTGGAAGATGTTCTGTCAATGTTCGTTATCCCTCCTTTTTCTCTCATACACTCACTCGCTCCTGCACAAGGGATGTGCTCAGTGCTCCACTCATTCAGCTCCACTCATTGATCTCCTATCAAACCTCGTCAATTACACTGAGTGCTGGGATGGGACAACAAACTGGATGCACTCCCGGTCCTCAAGGATTTTTGTATTCCTCAGTGTCAGAGATGAGAACAATATGCTGTCCAAGGGTAGAGGTCAACTCCCTCCACACTTGGAGTTTAATGAGAGCTTCTGAGAAGAAATAACATCAAAGTGACTGATGATGGAAGGTTGAACCAGACTTTGCCTGATTAACTAAAGGGCTGAGATGTGTTGAAGGCTGGATATGACAATGCAAAGTTTACCAGGAACCTAATCTCGCCAGTCCTTGTAAACCAAGATGATTGGCCAGAAACATTTTGGTTGTATGAGTAAATGACAATAACTAAACTCTGACTAGATTAAGACAAAAAAAAAAGAAGCAATTTATCTGCCCAGATTACAATGATACTGAGTACCTACAAAACTAGAAAAAGAAAAAAATAGCTTCAGAGTCAAGCTTCAAAGACTGGGATAATGGCCTGAAGATACCAGGACACTTCCCCCAACCAACTTCTACGTTTACCAGCTTTGTTATTCAGAAGAGCTGTGTGAAAGTGATAGGGGAGATCAGTCCAGGATGTCTAAGTCTATTTTCTCCCAGTTTATCCATCCCAGAAGGAAAAAAAAAAATACACATTCAATCACCATATACCTTGTTCAGGGCAGGATTTCATTGGATCTGCTTAGGTGACATTGCCTCCCATTCAATCACTTCTTGTGGCCTGGAAAGGACTTGTTTGAAGCCACATGCTCACCCATGAGCAGAGACACTGAACGGTCACAGAGCAACCCAACATGTGAAGGGGTTTAATAAGTGTTTGGTAGCTGAATCTAATCATTAAACTCTCCAGTAGCCCAAGATATCATGGTTGAATCACAATGTTTAAAGAGTGAGAATGAATCATACTGCTCTGGACTATTCGGGGGGTCTAAAAGCAAAACCTGCTTGATCTGATTTTCATTTACTTTTCTGAAGGTATTTTCTTGAGGGATTCAGACCTGGCTTTCTGACCATAGAAAAATCTAACTTTCCAGAAGTTTTCTATTGTTATTATTGAAGAAAATAGGGATGGGGGGCAAACCGTTCTCCAGATACCAGAAATTAGGGGACAGGGTCTTCAATCCAAAGATGATGAAAGCTAGGGAAGGATAGGTATGTCACCACAAGGTTTTCTTCTCTTTTTGCCAAGAGAAGAAAAGGTGTTTATGTTCGACCCTGCCATGTGGACACATTCCAAGGGCTGCTTGTCACTTTTATAAATTTTTCTTTGCTTTGCTTTACTTTTCTTCTTCGAGCCATGAGCCATCAGGGGCAGAGAAAAGGAGTCTCACTGAGTTTCAAGTGTTTTCTTCCTGAGGCAAAAGATAAGTGCCCTAGGCAAGGACCTTGTCTTGTTTCTCAAGGTCTTGGAAGGATAGGACTCAGGATTCTTGCTCCCTATGAGTAAAGGTGCATAGATTGTCCTTGTGAACATGCTGGTGTACATGTGGAGATGGGCATGAGGGTCCTGTATATGGTTCAATCCCATACCTTAAGCCTTAAGCAATGTCCTGATATCTTCCCCTTCCTTTCTTCTAGGCAGATGATTTTAGACTAAAAGTCCAGACATTCAGATTCCAGCTGTGGGCTAAGCAGTCTTCATCCATCCTGTGGCTTTAGATAAACCTTGCAACCCTTTGGAGACTATTTTCATATCTGCAAAATGAAGAGAAAGAACACCAATCAGGGCTCTTTGTGGCTTCTCTATGATCAAACACTGCACGCAATCTCCAATCATTAAACATTTGCCAACATCCACTTTTGTCAGAAATGATGGAAAATAACAACACCCAACAAGCACTGAGTTTTACTATAATTCACATATTTGGTCCTAAACAATTTACACAGTGCTCCTCAAATTCCCACCAACAACTGATGGTAAACACATTGCCATTCTCCAATTTTGCACACAAGGAAACATGCAGAATGGCTAAGCCAGGGGTCCACCGTAGCACAAGTAGTATTGGATTCAAACTTCACTTGTTTTGATCTGGGTCATAATTATAAACTGTTATAAATACCTAAATACCTTGTAGAAGAAAAAACACAGCTTCTTTCCTTGAGCTGATTTTCCTCTGGGCAGCAGAAAGGCTTGGAAACCATCTCTGTTCTAATTATGTTTCCATCTGAGAAGGCATATTGCAATGGACACTTGTAGGGTGGCCTCCAAGTCTAGGATTCAGAAAATATTTATTGGCTCAAGTTCAGTGACAAGAGAAAAGTTTTGTGTGAAAGGAGGAGGCATGGTTTTCTCTCCCTCAAAGCCATGGATATTTCTGCCTGATAAGCATGAGCACAGGTACCAGTGCAGGGAATCCATAGACTCTGTGATCACCTGGGATGTGGGAGATCATCTTGTTTTTGTTTTTTCTGACTAAGTTACTATCTTGTCATCTTTCAAGGCTAACTAAACTTTTATCTCTCTTGAATGGTTCTTATCACACTCCCACTGATGCCCAAATAAACACTTCATATTTTCATGATGTGTCTCATGGTGTTCTCATCATGTCCCCACGCCTGCACACAGCTTCCTTGCAAGAGTCACTTGTCCACTGCAACATTGATCCATCCATTGTTCCATCAAGCCATGGGGTCCTCAGTGCATACCTCAGTACTTGGAACATGGTAGAGGTCCACTAAAAATTTAGCAAATAATTAAAATTTGAAAAGATTGTCATCTTATTCAGCTCATAACTATTATTTGATTGTAAAATTTCAATAAATGAATCAACGTTCAAATCTTGGCAGAAAATTTTTTGTGTGTGTTCTTGGCTGTCAACACCTATCTTTGACATCTCCTGTAACTCGTATTTTTATTCTTAGTCTTTAAGGTAGGCAGAACAATGGCCCCTGCAGCATGTTCACCTTCCAATCCCTAGAACCTGTGGATATGTTATCCTTTATGGCTCAGAGGGGTTTGTAGCTGGGATTAAGTTAAGGACATTTAGTTAGGGATTACTCTGTTATTCAGGTGAAGCCAATGTAATCCTAAGCATTTTTATACATGGTAGAGGAGGGCAGGAAAGTTAGAGTCAAGACAAGATGGAAAGATGCAATGCATCTGACATTTTCATATTATAAGTTTTATTAATATATAATTAACAAAAACTAAATCTATTCCATGTATGCATTTTGTCAAGTTTGTACATATTCACACATGATCACAATCAATGTTAAAAAGGGGGCATGGACATGAGAAAAGTTCTACAGGTAACATTTACTACACCATTAGCTTTGAAAATGAAGGAAGAGATCATGAGCCAATAAATACAGGCAACTTCTAGAAGCTGGAAAAGGCTAAGAAACAGACTCTTCCCTACATCTTCCAGAAAGAGTATGACAATGACAGTATCTTCTTGTTAGCCAAGTAAGGCTATTTCAGACTCCTGACCACCAGAATTGCAAAGTAATAAATTTGTGTCCTTTTAAGACTCTAAATTTAAGCTAATTTGTTACAGCAGCCTTTGGAACCTGATGCAGTTCTATTTTCAAACTTGCTCTGAGGGTAGCCGCAATCCTTTTCCCTAGCTCACATTACATGTTGGTTTCTTTCTCTCCTTTGATTTATTCCTAGCGGGTTGTGGAGACTCAATTCCCATGTTATCATAGAAATTGAAAAACATGTTTTCTCAGATACTGTGCTGTTTATAGATGTATTATCCATTTTAATTTGAACAACCACATTCTAGCACAGTCAATACCATCCCATCTAACAGATGGAGAAGTGGTGGTTCAGCAAAGTCTCAACTTCACAAGCTCTTAGAACCTTGGTCTACTCTATCAACCTTCAGGCTGCAGCTCACCTTCACCTGATCCTTTGTGTTTCCTGCTGATGCTCACCTCTCAACTTCACAGAGCTGAATCTACATTTGTTACTCGGAGACCAGAATGCTTTTTATCCTGGTTCAGATTTCACAGATGGTGAGATGACAAGGGGGATAACTTACCAGAGCCTTAGTTTGGAGTAATAATACCATGGAAACAGGCAAAAGCTGCATGATTTGCTCTGTTTTGACTCTATTTTAATTTGGGTGGCTAGGTATAAATCAGTACTTCACAGCTGCATCCCAAATATTTCACAAGCATTTGGGATAACCATTAGAGATTCAGAAAGGTGAAGAGATTTACCCAAAGCCACCGACTTATGTAAAGGCTAACTAGGGAACTGAATTCAGGTATTCCTGCTTTATGAGTTTTATATAACACACCAGAATCAACATTTGCATTTTTTCTTATATCAGTGGCTGCCAAATTTGCAATCTACAAACCAGCTGCATGAAACTCACATGGAAAGTTTTCAAAGGTGTGGTTCATTAACTTATCCTGAGACTTTGATTCTCTTAATCTGGATCTATTTCTGAGAATACAATGCTGTTGCTGCTGTTGTTGTTGTTGTTGTTGTTTTAGAGCTCCTCAGGCAAGCAGGAAGACCAACCAGGTTTATAAAACTGGGTATAGACATTAACTCTATATTCTCAAAAAGGCAAACTGTCTAGATGCTCTCCACCATTTCCATATCAAATAAGATGGATGAGGCCCCTCTCAGAAGACCAAATCCCTAGGGAGGCAAAAAAAAACTGGAAAGAGAGCTTATCCTCAACACAGATGGTGTCATAACTCAGAAGAAGCTGCTGGAATCAGACACAGCCTTAGAGAGCTGTTCTGGACACACCCTCTAGAAACAAGGGGAAAATCTTTACCCAGGGCAACTCTGAAAACCCGTCAATCATCCCTTGAAATGAGAAATGTCAAAACTTAAATGTTTGACATTATCAAGTGTTGATGAGCTATGGGACATAAACACAACTAAGAAGAAAGGGGATAAAAATTGATGGCACCATTTGGGAGGCAATTTCAGAACATGTCTAAAATGTTACCATGGGCATAACTGTGACCCAGCAAATTAGCTTCTGGATTCCATGCTAGAAAGAGACTTCTGTAAATGCAAACACCCTCAAGAAAAAAATTAGAAACAACCTAAACGAGATTCCAGGGCTGGCATGAAAAGGTTTCTCAGACTTACTTTTGTGTTGTTTTTGTTGTTGTTGTTGTTGTTGTTGTTGTTTCAGACTTATTTTTGAAGGTAGGGAAGCAAGTTTCAAACTAATGCAACGAGTATGCCTTTGATTAGATATAAAGATACAGATATAGATAAGTATCTGTATACACACAAAATGTATAATTGTATCTCTATTTCTTGTCTTTCCATTTAAAATACATTTTGGAATAATATTCATGAAACTTCTCACAGTTCTTCCCCCTGGGAGACAAAGTGGGCCTGAAGATAAGGTGGCCAACGCAGCCTTTCCTCTGCATGATGGATTCTTTTTTTCTTTCTTTCTTTCTTTCTTTTTTTTGGTCCGTGGATGGAACTCCGGTCCTTGCTCTTGCAAGACCACTGAGCTAAATCCCCAGCCCCTTTGATGGATTATTCTACTGTGATGATAGAGTCGTGTTCACAGCCACAGTCAAGACCTACTTAGCACTGGAGTTTGTCACTGCTTGAAAGAACCAGCAACCCTGAGTTTATTTGGTCAATAGCTATAGTCTCTGCTAATGAGATAATGCTTTTTATGGACACAAAACTATACCAAGATTGACATAACCTACCGCAGGTATCAGGTGATGCCGTAGGCACCAACAGAAATGGATGAAAAGCTATTTTTGTGGTTGAAGAGCTCAGGCCTTGGGTGGTGGGGAGTAAGACATTTAAATACTTACATCACCATCAATGCCATGTGAAAAGACATCATTTTTACAAGAAACAATAGGTGTTCTTTCAAGAAACATTCCCCAAGTATCTTTAGTGCCAAGGTATTGTGCCACACACAGAAGATGTAGAGATGGTCAAATATTTGTCTGTCCTTGAGAAATTCACTTATAGTGAGTGCTCCATGGATGCAAGGCTCAGGACAAGAACCACATCCTGCTCATCTCTTTATCCCCTGGAGCATTCAGCAATGTGCTTGGAGCATATCACTGACAGAAGCTTCATTGCCCTGGTGGGAAATAGGTGAATAGAGGAGTAAGTGAAAAGAAAGAGACACGAATGAGTCTGGAATCTCAACTCTGGCAGCCAAAGGAAAGTTCCACTTTGTTCATTTTTAATTTGAGGGGTGCACCAGTTAAGACTGACAAGCTAGTAGTTAGAAATTCATGCTTAGGGATCAGCTTGGAGCAAGAAGTCGGAAATAATGGGGAGTCATATAAATAAGTATAGTGTTTGTAATTACAGGAGTGAATAGGATTCCTAAGGAATGGGGAGGGGCACTATAGACAAAGCCGTATGGAAAATGGAGTTATAGTAAATAAGAAAATGGAAAAAAAAAACAGAAGTTGTCGAAGAACAGCCAAAGAAGGTGAAGAAGAAACACACAAAAGTAGCTATAAAAAGCTGAGGGGGTAAAGTGTCACATTTAGGATCAAATGCTGTATAAAGCTCAAGCACATATAAAAGAATCAATTGGAAAGATCTGGGGGTAGCTTGGAACAATGGTTAAAAGAGTGCACCCTGAAATCAGATTGTTTATGTTTGACAACCATCTCCTGAGTCTCAGCTATCCCTCCTGTCTAATGGAGATGAAAGGAAAACAATACCTGCAACATAGAAGTGTCCGAAGATGTAATATCCTAATGTTTACAAAATGCTTGGCACTTAGCTGTCAATAAATGAAATAAAAATGATATCCTTATCAAGTAGATCTCCGATGACTTTGGCAAAACCAGGTTTAATGAAGTAAGAAGATGGGACCAACATACCTGTGAATTCCCACTGATCCTTTGCGTGACTCCCTTACCTTGGGTGAAGATGAACTTGCGACTTGCTTCTGGCCAATAGAGTCTGGCTTGATTAGGTCACTTAATCAAGTCAAAGGAGATGGAATGTCTTCCTGTGACTACATTGCATTATATAAGACTCCTGCTTACCATATAAAAGAGAGATGGGGCATTGAGGAAGCCAAAAGACATTCCATGAACTCTCTCTGGGAGAACATCCCATGGCTGCAACTGCAGTCAGTTTGAGGCTGGTTGTCAACAGACAATCGTAGAGCTGCAGAGAAAATAACCCTGTCAGCAACCTGAATAAACATGGGCACAGATTCCTCCCTACTCAGTCCTCCAGGTGAGAATGCAGCCCTAAGCGCAGGCTGAGCAGAGACCGACTTGAATTATGTTAAGCCTCCTGCACTCTCTTGGTTCCCCTATATGCCAAATTGGATTGACTTCAGCAGTCACATTGGGATCTCCCAAATACTGATAGAATGAGGATTTTCAACATACTTGGATAGTGAGGAAGGATGCAATATCCCCTGTCTCTTCTCCCCTAGTCTTCCACCATCCTTATTTAGAACTTGATGTAGGAGTCATAGGATGGATTGATTCCAACCACATAGCCAGGGATCAGTTACATTAAGTCCAATGGACTCAATATCTTACAATAAAATTGTTCTGGTATAGTAAATCCAGCATTTTCCCGGAAGTTTGATTTCTGAAAAGGCATTTCGGTGTTTCTATTGCAATGAGTTGCTGGAAATTTTTCTGTTTCTTTGTTTACCAGCATTATACTCTTTCTTGAGTCTCAGAGGCTCTCTAAACCTTCTGGCTCCTCGTCTTCAAAAATGAGAATTACTATAATTCCAATCCTCACCAACAATCAGCTTTTAGTGAAAACTAGGGAAATAATAAATATGGGATGGGTTACTAGGGTTGTAGTTGATAGTTTCATTGTTCTCTTTATCCTAGCAGGACCTATATAGGCTTCACCTCCTTAAAAAGAGATGGTCACAAGTTCTGTGGGTGCCACCTCCTTTGTCTCCAATCTACAAACTCTCCATCCCCATCCATTATCCTTGCAAGCCCAAGGGTGTTAGTATAATGTAGCAGGAGCTATAAAAACCTGCCTTGGACTTTATGTGGGGCCTAGGATATATAAGCTTGTTCACATTACCTTCTCTGGGCCTCTTTTTTCTCAAAAATAAAAGTAAATATTAAACAATGTACCTACTGTCAACACTTTAGGAATACATTGAGATATTATGTGTGCATGAAAGGTCTTTCACCATTATTCCATCTCATACTTCCTCTTCCTATTGTGATAGGAGCAAATCCTACAACCATCATCTGACTTAGGAGAGCAGGACCCTAGTCCAAGGGCTTCCGAGCTCAGAGCACCTCTCCTACATCCCCCTTCCAGATCATTAGACTTGTTGCATTGTACAGCAGGCCTCCCTGAGCTTGCAGCCTGCAACCCAACTATTTCTGTGGGCTGCTTGCCAGCCTAGCTCCCAGCAAACTCCCTCAGCTGTCGGAACAACTCTCATTGTCAAAACTTTCTGAGAAGAGTCATTAGTTTCAGAAAGATGGGAAAGGAAGGATGTTTTGCCT